TTGGAGCTCTCCTCACTACTGGGCACTGGCTGCAGGAGTCTGTGTCCCATCTCCGCTGTACAGAGCAGATGAAACATCAGCTCCCAACGTGGAGGAGAGAACTAGAGTACCCAGACCAACTACGACAATGAGAATCGTTGAAAATATTCTCATTATCGATTCGTTGGTTGCAGCCCTACTTTACAGACATTGTTTACATTTTCGAATTGTCACAGCATTTACTGGGAATGGTGCGTGTTTCCATCAAAACATGTGGTGGCAGCTATTGTGTGTGTGTGTGTGTGTGTGTGTGTGTGTGTGTGTGTGTGTGTGTATAAAGGGTAGACCGCAGAGTTAACCAACCCCAGTCCTGATCACTCTTATTCAGCTGGATTTAGATTTTTGTCCCGCAGCCTGGAAAATCTCTGCAGTGTGAAATGCTTCGGTAGGATTGGAACTGTGTATAGTAATGTTGGTGATGTACAGTGGGTTCAGACCAGCTGCTACCATCATAATGCCTAATACTGCACAAAGCCATAGAGGGATACTGATGGGAGGAAAAATTGTCTTGTCGCAGAAGAGTCAGAGCAGCCCTTAGTCCAGATTGCTTACTTCCCAGGCTGTCTCATAACTCCTAAGCACCGTTCATGTGGTACAAATACATAAAGGTATGGAAACCTAAAGCATGTTACATGTAACCTATAAATGCCAGGCAGGTGCAAAGGTCTTTAAATACAAGTGAAGCCTTTTTGCTGCTTGTTTAAAGTGACAGTCAACATTGGAAAAACTGAACTTAAGTTTTCTATATAGGATTTTTTTTCTGACAGTTTTTCAAATGCTTTATAAAAGCTTGCTGTACACACTGCTCTTCCAAAAACTGAAGCCCTTATGTAAAAGGGTCAAAAGGGATGTATAAAACTACAGGTTTTACATAATACAAAACTTAAATTGCATCAGATAGGTATAATGAAGCCTGAACCTTTCATTCAAAAATGAATTGACAAGATAATGAAAATCATCATCAGAGCAAAGCAAGGTATCGATCTGCAAAAACATTGGCAAGTTACATATTTTACTTTTCTTTCCTTCTCAACAATACCTTCTATTTATCCAGAATCCAATAC